GTTTACTGTTTATCATGCGGCGCGTGCGATCAGAAATAAATTGGCGAAACATGGAGAAAAATTAGCACACAAATCAAGGAACATCCAAGGCTCTGCAGAAAAATGGATACTGAAAGATCAAAACTAGCGGAACACATAGCACCGACTGGACACGAGATTAATTGGAAGGCAACAGAAAGGAAAGCTCCATGCGGTGGCAACACAAGGAAGCGGAAGATTAGAGAAAAATCTATTGAACAGGGGATTGGAGGAAGATAGAGTAAAAGAAAACACATTTTGACGAATGAAATGTAAATCAGTGAGAAGTTGTGATATGGCGGCAGTGGGATTAGAGAGTGAAGAGTAGATAGATAGGCCAGGACAGAAAGAGAAATGAAAGTGTAACCGTTTTCGCCAGAACCTTTGTCGGTGGATTGACTTCACTTGTCTCTTTGACGAGTTCATAGGTTGGTGCGGAGAATGGCAGCACTCACTGATGATGCCGGCGAAACGTTTGAGAATGTACCAAGTCCACTGTCTGATGCTGGGAATCATGGCAACTACTATGGCAGACGACTTCGGACTAGGTGCGTTCTACATAGTGGTCCTGACAACAAGACCAAGTTGCGTCAACAAGGTCAACCAACTTCGATATGAGTCGAGTTGACGTTTCCATTGAATTTTAGAGAACCCTCCATTCCCAAAAGAAGTTCTCATCCCGGCTGAAGTGGACTGCAATTTCGACCTCGCCTCGGTCTTATCAACATCCCCAGCGGGAGTCAAGGGAGGCCAGGCCTTTTCCCATATCACATTTTTTGGTGGGAAAAGTATTTTTGCTATAAAAAGCGACTACTTTACTTATTTTTCGTATGTAAGTAGAGTTTCGAGACTAACAGTAAATCAGTAATATTAATGATTTACCGGTAGTCTCTAAACTCTACTTACATACAAAAAATAAGTAATTTTTATGCTTAGCATCGACCAATTGACAAGCTGGTAGGAAAAAAATGGGGGCATAATGTAGGTCAGGAGTTTTGGAAATGGCATATGGTACCGTTGGTGAAGATGATTACGCTTCTCTAAACCCACTTGTAGCGACACGCACACATTGGATGAAACGAGAGCACAGAATTGTATGAATAAAATGGATAGGCCATTTGAAGTGGGGTTGAGAGAAAGAGATGCGGCGAGGAGTGATGCTACAACGGTTCAACAGAAAATTAGTCAAAGAGAATACCTTCACTTGTCACTTTGATCAGTTGGAAATCACGAATACCATGGCAGAAGACACGGGACGAGGTACTTTCCACAAGGTCTTCCTGACGCTCCGACAGAGTTGCGAAAACAAGGTCGAACCAACGCAATAATGGGACGATTCGTCAAGAGCATATTCGCACAAATCTACACTAACACTTCCAATCTTTCATCAGAACTGCAAAGTAACAACAACAGCGACATCAAAGACGACAATTATAACATCAGCATCATCAACGTTAACTCCGACAACAATAACAAGACCAGCAGGAAAAACAACACAAAGTACCAAGTGTTCATTGGTCACTGAAGAGCTGACCCCCTCTTCAGTCGAGCTCGACCTATCTTGACTTAAATAGCACATTTCTGGGGTACGCGGCCAGCCTATGCGCGAATTTGGTGTTGAGGTGAAAAAGTAGGCACCCTCGTGAACGCAAGGTACCATGGTAAGGGGAAACTGAGTCAAGGGATTGTTAGAAAACGATCCTTCAAATCTACCAATTAGGCCAGACTGCTTCCTCGTGACAACAACAAACCTGTCCGTAGGCTCCTTTGTAGCGCGCCTCGCGGACGTGGGGTGCATAATTGACCTCCAGCATGACGTCATATTGAGCTGATCCCTCTACATTGTTAACGGCATAGCAACGATACACGCCGCGGTCGAAACGGTTGACGGACGGCAGAAATAGAGTGTTGTTCTGCGAGTGAAAGGGAGGAAATTATAGGCATGGATAAGATGGTTGTGAATGAGATTGCCAACTTTGAGGCCGATCAAAATTGCCCACTCCTGGAGCAAATGCCTTAATCGAAGTATCCCAGAGCCCTGAGGCAATGTGGATCGCAAGATTTTCTCATCGGAAGATGCTTATCAAGATCCATTCAGTTGAGGAGCAGACGTTAAGCTCAAAGTCACGTCATCTTCGTCTGACTGAGTAGCCTTACGAAACCTATTGCCCTGAAAGTGAAGAACAAAGGCCAATATCAAAAAGGTCTTCAGCTTCTCCAGCTCTCCATATTACATTATTGCAGCAGTCCTGGAGAGCAACTCTGATGACTCCCTAATCTTAAAGTGTGCGGTACAGAACAGGTACGCCTTGGTAGTCGCAGAGACTGGACCGAAGGCTTGATGACGAGCGTATCTGCTATCAGCAGAGGACACATTGGCTCTCATCTTTCGTCTGCACTACAAGTAAAAATCGGACAATTTATGCAAATGCCATTTCGCGGAGTTTACTTTCTCCAACAAGATGCCAGGTAAAATATGTCGTTGTTCAACCTAAAATGCGTCGGCCAGAGTAAGATTATCTTTGACTGACTTTTTTCAGAATAAGAAAGACATCCAGACACTTATTTTGGCCATTGATTTTAGTTATAAGACTATAATTTGGAAGATGAACAACTAAATAATTATGTTTATTCATGCATGGTAACTTTTAATAACGATTGATCTAAAAGCCTCTAGCTTTGCAAGCTATTCAGTAAACGAAAGATTAGCGGGGGAGATTACTATTAGTTTCAGAGGGGTATCAGCATCAAAGGTCAGGAAGCAAAGAGAGTGCTTGAAGTTTGTTTTCGATTTGCCTTCGTCGTGTATCAGAGAGGGTTATTCCGATCCAAACTGGACTGCCACTTCGGCCTCAGCGGGATCCGAACCGTGGAATGCGGGCGAGAATGAGAACATATTGCAC